AAACTACTTTTTTTTTTCATTTCAGCAGTACAAGTTGGGATAGGAGAAATAAAAATGTTTTTATCATTAAACAATTGAGAATCATAAATATTTGTCAGTTTACTGCATAACACCTAGAAATCTACCACTAGATCCAGTTATATTTTTTAAAGTTTACACACATGTACACACAAAATATATATGTATACATATATACTGCCCAATCCTGCATGGTCAAACTAAATATTGAGCACAGGTTTTGTCTTGGAGTAGGAGCAAGGGAGACAGTGGGTTTCCAAAGGAAAGTATTCTGAACATTGAATGCAGTTTGTTGTTTTGTTATAAGCTGTGCTAATGTAAAGGCTTTTAGCTAGTCCTTTGATCCTTGGATTTTTTACACAGTTGCATAGAGATACTGTCCCACTGGCTGGCTCTATAAAGTATTAGTATTATGAGGGTAAATATTCTCCAAAAATGGTCACAAGGAATTTGGAGGTTTTTGTTTCCATTTTAGATTATTTATTTGTTTTTTTGCCTGCCTCAAAGCCTCTAGGTGGGCTATAGTCCAAATACTAACATACACAAGTTAAATTACATAAAATAAACAATAAGCAGTCCCCCCAATTAAATCACAGATGAAATCATAGAACAAGCAATCTAAAACCAATAAAATAGATGTAACAACCATAAATCAAAGGACCTCTTAAAAGTCAATAATTTCCTGAAGTCTAATAAGGTAGGAACTGATCTGATAGTATCTTGTCATGATAGCCAAGCCTAGCAAACTAGTTTCCTAAAATAAGCCCATTTCAAGCCATCATTAATAGAATTAGCTTATTCCAACAAATCATAGTTCAAGTTTCATATATCTTTTAGATGCAGCGAATCTAAAAAGTAGAAGTTTCAGATCTTCTCCTTATGGCTGATCCAGTGTAGTGGGAAATTACATGAGTTTATGGCTCATTGTGTTAATCTTCATAAACTAAAACACAGTATTAGCTTTATGAATGAACACAGCTATCTTACTTCCTCTGTCTTGCTGCATATTAAGGAAGAACTCAAATATTTTGGAATGCCAGGTCTAGATGCTTTGAGTTGTCCAGAATAGTTAGGCTGACTATCCTTTTTGGTCAACCTGGACTTGCAGCCAGCCTGGCAAGCTCCATTACTCACCCAGCAGCAGATGGTGCCTGTCAAGGGATGCTGGGAGGGGAGGAGCAGGGTGGTTGCCTCGGTGATTTCTCTATCTCCACAGCAACGGAAAGGTCACCCAGAAGGTCCCTCATGCTCTCCCTTTCTGTACGAAGCTCTGAGATCTGTTTAAACATGAATTAGGGGTATGACTGTAATTAAGGCTCTGCTGAAGTGAGGCAGAATACAATGGGCAGTGGGGTTTATAGTACGAGTTTTCAAGCTAAATGGAATTTATTTTGGGGATTTCACCCTGGAACCTCTGGGCTGCAGCAGATATCTGTTTTAAATGTTGTAAATTGGAGTCATGCTGCATGCAAGTAAAACAAAACCTGCAATTCAGACTTTTTTATCCTCACACTGAGAATAACTTATTATTCATATCTCTGTGTCAAAATATGTGCAAAACAAAAATATATTCTTTACTTGTCCTGGATTTTGTATGTTTCTGAATCTGTGTGGTTCAAAGCTAAAGGTCTGTCCTATACATAGCAGCCTCCAGTTATTCACAAGAACTTCCCTATGCATGTTGAATAGGTTTGTGTAAAATTGGGTTAATGTGAATTACAGTTTTGCTCAGTTTTTCCAGTCTCAATTTTGTTTCAACCCATAATCCATATCACTTTATTCTTTTTTTTAAAAAAATACACAACCATTGTATTCATGTTTATGTACATTTCTCATAATACATTTAGTATGCTGTACTTATATATGAATTGTGTACAAATGATTTTTCACAAAGTTTGTCTGCATTTTTTCTCAAAATTAATCATTCTTTATACACATTTTATTCTGTCACATATTTTTGGGGGGAAAAAAGGATTTTAGCATAAGTGTATTTTTGTTTGGATTAATTTGCACTGAAATGCAATCCAAATTTCTTTCCCATCCATAGATGTGTGAGGATGGTCAGAATATGGTTTCCAGAGCAACTATCTGCTAAAGTAAAGAAGTTTATATCTCAGGAATGAGTAGTGTGGGCCACTCTTCAGCTGTTCTCTTGAGATAATTGCTGGGAAGGTGACAAAAAATTATTGGTGCAGGAATATGCAATTATAGCATCATTGATTGATTGATTGATTGATTGATTATGTGTCATCAAGTCAGTGTCAACTTTTAGCAACCACATGGATTAAGATCTGTTCCCAACCTGGTTCTTCAGGTCTTCCAATGGTGTATCCATCGCAGCTATAATCAGGTTCATCCACCTTGCTGTTGGTCATCCTCCTCTTCTTTTTCCTTCCACCTTTCTAGCATTATAGACTTAACAAAAGAGCTGGGTATTCACACAATGTCCAGGATACAGTAATTTGAGCCTGGTCATGCATGCTTCTTCTAATCCAACTTTCACTTTCATGAAGTATCACAAAGAAAACCATTGCCTGCACAATTCTGATGTTTTTAGGTATAGACACACCATGGCATCTGAATATCTTTTCTAAGTCCTTCATTGCTACTCTACTGAGTGCTAGTCTGCAGTGTTATTTCTTGACTGATGGCCTAAAAGGCAGAAACTATCCACTTCAGTATCTTCATTCTCAGTTCAAAGGTGATTGGTGTACCAGTTGTCATTAGTTTGGTCGTCTTTATATTTAATCTTAGTCCCATTTTTTCATTGTGCTCCTTGACTTTCATATAAAATTATATGTTGTGTAAAATTTCACATCTTGGTGGTTTTCAGTTGTTTCTTAGGCATTTTACTGTCACGTTTTATTGTGGTGATGTTTCTGCAATTGTCAGCTAAGCAGTCCCAACTTTAATTGAATAATCAGTACCAACAGCTGTACCTGGATGGAGAAGGTGAGGTGCTGCAACATGTGTGATATAGACATGATGGCACCTGCCATGGATAGAACTGGTCTTTCTTGCTTACCAAGAGCTACTAATGCTTTGGCATGTTGCTGCTTCTAGAGAAGCAGAGGCAAGCTCTGGCTTTGTTCTGCTGATTTAAATGAGGAAAAAGGGAGTGAGTGGAAAATCCATAACATCCATAAAAAATGGAATGGGGAGGAGGGGAGAGAAACTGGGATCTGTGTCAGTGGAATCCATTGATTATAGAGGAGATTGATGAGCAGCACATAGAGCCCTCTAGTGACATTTGTTAGCTGGCTAAGAGAAGATCTCTAGAATCACACTGCTGTTTTAAAGGACAATTCACAGGTTGTATTTGTTATGTTTAAATGGCATCTACCTCAGTCCCCATGTCCTATGTTGAAACTGATATGGTTTGGGAAAAGCTGTATCAGTTTCAACACTGCTTATTGAAGTATGGACAAAAAACAAACAAACCAAAAACGTCTCTTCTTTGGACACAGTGGTTGTAGGCAATAGGGATGAATGAATGAGTCTTGGTGAAAGAGTCAAATCTGTGCTATCGGTTACTGTTTCCTACTTTTAGGGAGTTTTGTGAACATAAAGTGTTATTCTAAATATCATCCCATGAGGTCTGTAGTTATAAATTCTATTCTGTCATGCTTATCCCGAGGACAGGATCAATAGCAGCCTTTTTGAACTGAAGCTTTATGTAACTTGTTCCATATAAGTTTGCATTGGCAAGAATTCTCAAATCCAGGCTAAGCCACCTACAGTACATACTTCTTTGCACTAAAAGAGCATTCAGATAAATCATCTTTAGGATTCATGGAGTCACTAAAGGAGAACCAATAGGCCACCCAACAGTAGTATTAATCTGCCTTTCATTGAGAGAAGAGATTGTTCTGTAGTGATCTTGAGGTTTATCTCTGTTACATCTGATACCACAAAATGCTTTGACTATACCAAACCATGTGCCCACAAACAACTTCAAAAAAAAGGTTAGAATATCAAAATGGACTCTGTACTGAGGATTTCCATCATCATTGCGCTTAAGCTGCAATTGTCAGCAAGCAGAATCACATGTCTTGTAATCTTAGCCGTGCAGAATGAAACACCATCTATAAGCTCAAAACAATCTAAGTAGTTAGAGTGCAGTAATCTTATGTACAAATTGGATTATACATAGGAGAGAGTTTTCTGACATTGAGTTCTAAAAGCTGCATTTTTTATATCCCACTAAGATCATCAAAACAGTCAAAGCAAACTTTCTTGAATATGTATCAGTGTGATACCTGAAATACACAAACCTGCACTTCTGAGAGGCTCATTTTCTCAGATAATATGGATTGTGTCTTAAATCCTTTTGTCACCGTTTACTTCTAGTTCTTCTGTTTATTTTTTTGAGGAAACGAATGTTTCTTAATGATCTTCCAGAAGATATTCTTCTGGTAATTGTGGATGTAGAAACTCTGTACACCAACATCATAGAGAAACTGATGCATATTGCCAGAAATATTATCCTACATTATGCTTGGTTGCTTAGTTTTGTCAGTTGGTCTAATGGGTTTGGAGTTGAAGTCCAACATATCTGTGATGTATTACTACTTTTGGTTTGTATCTTCTAACAAAAATAAAAAATCCTTTATCTACAGTAGGTTGGGCTCAGCAGAAAAAAATAATAGAATGCTGCTTATTAATTGTAGATCTCAGTTAAAATTCCTCCAAGGATTATCAAGGTTGTAGAAGACAATGCCTCTCTTAAATATTAGATTTTTTTCTATTACTGATCCCCTTACACCTAGCAGTTTGAAATCACAGCAGTGGGCTATCTTAGTGATTTAACCATTTCTGTTTGGAACTTGAGAAGACATGAAACAGACCTGGTGTACTAACAGGGTGGATCTTGGAGCATCTGTAGCATCATAATGATATTACACAAAAGTTATTCTTTCTGTAGTCACTATCTTTCCAAGTAGCATTCATTAATCTGTGGCCTTCTTTTCTTCTTCCCTCAGGCTGTTCCTCTAAGTCATTCAAGCTGTACTCTCCAAAGGAGCCCCCAAACGGCAACGCCTTCCCTCCCTTTCACCCAGGCACTATGCTGGATCGAGATGTGGGGTAAGTGAAAAGCTCCTTTAGTGCAAAATTGGGATGGTCTTGAACAAAACAAACCAAATCTTAAACCTGCTTCCTCTATTCATCTGTGATGCATAACCTTTGTAGCCAATGAAGGGTCTATAAATTCCAGATCAGAAGAGATGAAAGAAATGGGTTCTGACATATGACAAAGACAATTCATGGGCTGTATGCACCTTTTAGCCAACCCATGTGTGGTCTGCAAACTCTCTGCCCGTCTGACTAATCACTGTCCACCTAATTAGTGCTGGAAACTGCTGGGAAACATTCCAACATTGATTAGCTTGGAAGTGAGGTGGGCATTAGGGCTATTGAGATCAGGAAATAAAATGGTTAAAGATACTGTTTTCTTCCCATATTGAATCAAAGCCAAAAACAAAACATTTTCCTTCTGTATTCAGACTTAATTTGTATTTTTTTTTCATTGCCAAATGTTTGATTTGTTTTTGAATTTAAAACTGGAGAAACACCTGGAAAAAAATTTACCTTAGCCAAAGGCCAGCGCTATTAATCATGCAGAGACACAGCAGGTAGATATTTCTGAGAGTAGCTATTTTGTGCTGATACAAACTTGTGATTATTTATATTCTCCTGGCATGCCAGTGTTCTTCTGCACACAGTTTAAGAATCAGTAGCCTGGAGCAACATGTTTCAAGCAGTAGGAAGTTCCAGGTCAGTTAAACTCTGTGATTGTTGGAAAATGAGTTCATTTATTCAGTGATCCACTGACCTATAATGATATATTGCTCTTGAATGATGAGGAAGATAGATGTGAGTCTTAAAATAGAGCTAACTTTCTTGTAGGAATTTTGGACAGAATTTTGGACATCTCTGCAGTTCTTATAGCAGAGTTACCAGCCTGGATATGATCTAGGTCATGAGAACTGCTTGCCTGTACAACAAAAACGAGAAGGAAGAATAAAGGATCAAAATAGATCAGGCTCTTGACAGACAAAAAGTGCTGTCAAGCTCCCTGACAGAACAGGGGGATCTCCATGGAATAGGAATGGTCAGTTTCATGAGACTTGGATAACCAGTTTCTCCTGGGCTGGTCTACTGGGAAAGGGATGCAGTTCCCCTCTGTGGTGATTTCATTACATTCACACCCAGTGTTATAAATGAAAATACTTATTCCAGTCTGAATAAGTTAACTTGTACATTTTTAAACAAAACAGGAACTGTGTGATTTGATTGCTTCTCTTTCTTCACTGATTTTTAGTTTGTTTGTTTTTTAAGATGCCTCTAGCTCCTTGTCAAAATACAAGCAAAAGCACAAAGAAAGTATTCTCCCCCACTAAGATACAACACTGTTAAATCACTTCAAACATTCTAAGACAAACTTTTTTGAATTATAATTTGGCTGTTCATCAATGATTCTCCATTCATGTGAACTTTGTTGTGGGCTTTACTAGTAATGCAAGCTGATCTCTAATTGATGATGTCGTTTAAACAGCAGTCACCCACCTAGGAATTACACAGCCTGATGTAGACATGTTAGAGTACAGTGTGAATTATCCACAGCACTCAGTGTGTATAAATTATGGTGATCTAATAATACTCCAGATAACCTTCAAGTTACTGGGTTTGAGGAGTTTAAGCTAAGAAATAAAATTTGGAGTGAGAGGTGGACATTGGTAAAGCATGTTCTCCTGCCTTTTTCCAAAGTTATTTGTCTGGGTTACTCTTTGATTTGTAATGAGATGATCTGGTGGGGCTTTGATTAATCAATCTTGTATGGGCTTGTTTCTTTACAGACCAACTCCTATGTATCCACCAACATACCTGGAGCCAGGGATTGGGTAAGATGTCATATAAAGTCTGCGTGTACCCTTGTTCAACTTTATGCCTTCCAGATGTGTTGGTCCTGCTGGATGGAGGAGATAAAAATGGAAAAGGCTTATTTACACTAACCAGAGTGTAGATAAATCATAATATTTCAAGTATGATGAAAGTGATTTCTTGATCTTTATATTCAGGATAGAAAAATTCTGTATTACTAAATCAGAGCCATTAAATTAATATAGTCAGATAAATTAGGGAAGGGGAGGGAGTCCGCTAAGAGCTCTATAGAGTTTTCTAGGCTTTTAAAAATTATCCAGAAGCCCTGAATAACCTGTGTCAAAGGTACTAATCCATAGGGATGTGCAAAACATTCTGTGCATTAATATTTCCATGCATAAAACAGTTAGTTTCAGGTTGTCTGTGCCAACACAGAAACCCATGTGTTTTTTCTTCTATGTACTGAACAAAACAGGGTTCTTTTGTTTTGGGTAGAAAGTGGGACAGAAAAAAAGCCTGGGTTATACTGTGTTAGAAGCCTGCTACTTACAGCTGAGACTATCCCAGTAAGGTACAGGAAAACAGGCCAGTTCATCAGCAATGGCTGAGGGGTGGGAGGGAAGGTCTTGGGAATATAGGGGGCAGGGTGGCCTCTGGGCTATGCTGTAATTGAAAGAAGACTGAGTGGTGGCAGAGAGGGAGAATGTGATGCACACCAGCTTTGCTCTACTTACCCCATCCAGATTTGTTTTTTTTTCAAAATCTGAAAAAACAAAACATCCAGATTTGGTTCCAATAAACAGTGAGTGATCCAGTATGATTTGACAGAATCTTTGAAATGCTGATAATGTTGATAAGCAGTCACCAAGTATACATTGCTGAAAATCAGATATTTATTTATTCTATTTATATGGCCCCAACAACCCTGCGCAGCTAATAACAATAAAAAAACAGGAAGAAAAACCACAACAAGAATACAGATAAATAGACAATAAGCTGAGATAAAAACAACAAAACCATCAGTACAAATACAATACAAATATTTCAATAAAATTAATTTTACTCTATTGGAATGTCCAACAGACACTCCACCTCAGAAGCACAGCTGTATTTTTAGGGCTTTGCAACAGACCAACAGGATTGGGGGCAATCTGATCTCCAGGGGGATAATTTATGACAGGGCAGGCATTGCAAGAGAATAGGCTTTCTTTCTGGGCCCTGCCAGGTGGCACTCTTTAATGGATGGGATCTGTAACATGCCTCTCACGCCAGATCTGATGGGATGGGTAGACATGATCAGAGAGAGGCAATCCTGCAAATAACCTAGCCCCATGACATGATGGGCTTTATAAGTAACCACCAGCACCTTGAATTGAATCTGGAAGCATATTGCCATCTAGTGTAGCTCACAGAGCAGAGGTATAACATGTGCAGATCTAGACGTGCCCATGCACAGATTGAGAAGTACGCTGCTGCTTTTTGTACCAACTGCAGCTTCCAGATGCTCTTCAAGGAGAATCTCTTATAAAGTGCATTGCAATAGTCCATTTGGGATGTGTCTGAGACATGGGTGACTATGAACAGAGCCTCCCAGTCCAGGAAAAGGCACATTTGGTTTAAAACATGAAGCTCTGCAAAGGCTCTCCTGTTCATAGCCTTTACCTGGTCCTTGAACAGGAGCTGCAAGTTGAGGAGAACCCTGAAATTGTGCATCAGTTCTGTTTGGGACATTGCAACTCCATCTAGAACAAGGGATGAAGAATCCCCAGAACCAGGGAGCCCTAGAACCCAAAGCCACTCAGCCCTACTAGGGCTGAATTGAAGCCTGCCTGAAACCCAGCTGGAAAGGGTCCAGATAATCCGCTTCATCCAGAGTTCTTTGGAGTTGCTGTGCAAGCCACCTTCCCTAAAAAAAGCCATCCCCTCTTTCAAAGAATTGACTCAGCAGAACCCAACCACCTGTCACCTCCCAGGAAGCTTTAGCCAGCTGAGAGAGACATGGGTCTAATATACAAGTGGCTGAGCTACCAGTCCTGAAAACTCTGTCCACTTCATTGGGAATAACAGACAAACTGTGTGGTGAGCTGCCCAGAGTTGCATTTCATAAAATGGGCAACCATCGAAGCCTTTAAATAAATAAATAAACAAGCCAACAACCAACCACATTAACTGGAGTCCCAATATTTGTTAGAATGTCAGTGGGGTCAAATAATAACCCTCAAGTTAAGCTCAAAGAGCAACTCAGTTCTGAAGTTCTTCATTAGAGGAGTGACCAAAGCTAGGATAAATGCCAAAGTGTGGAAAATTAAATTCACCTTTAGAGAATTCAGTAGATAACTGCAATTTATAAAATGAATATGTTCAAGATATTGAACAAAGGTTTGTCACAAGGACATCCTGCAAAATGAATATTGCAGAATGTCCTCATGACAAACCTTTGTTCAATTTCTTGTAAAATTATTTAAAATAATATGAAGCAATTTGGAAAGGTCTTTCAAAGTGAAAAGGATGAAGCAAGAAATCTGGTCCTATGATAAATATGGAAGAACTAGAACTATACAATTTAGAAATGTTGATTAATAGATTTTGAATCTGTATATACTTTCCCACTGGAATGCTAATTAGATAGTGAATATTACATGGCTTAATATATCTCACTCTGAAAGCCAATAACTTGTTAAGCCTCTCTTTTTTCCCCCAATATTATTGCCTGATGCAATGTAATAAACATTCTCTTTTGAACCCATAAAACTTGTTAAGTTTATATTTAGCAGAGACAAAAGAGCTGCATGGATCAGGAGATGGATAGAAGGTATAAAGAGTTAATGATTCTGTAACTTTCTCTTCTAAAACTTTAAATTTAACCTAATTGTTCCTTCTTTTTATAAGAAGCATATGATTCAGCCTCAAATAAATGATTTGGTGATGTCCCATTCTAAAGACAGTGATGTAATCAAGTCCTGTTAATATTAAAAAAACCTCAGCCTTTTTCATTATGGTGTTATTGATTTGCACTCATGAGTTATGCACTTGTAATGGAGCCCTGTTTAGAAGCTTCTAGAGCCTACAAACATGTTCAGTGAGAGCCCTGTCCTATTCATATCACACAGCTATAATGCAGCTTCTGCTAAACTCCTTCAGTTCATTTTCAGCCACAGCAGCAATAGCATGCTCATTCTTGAGCTCCTTCTTTTATCAAGTTTCTTAGTTTTTTAAAAAAATGTTTTATTTACTTTATTTTAATGTTATAGGTAATCCTCGCTTAACTGCCTTGTTTAGTGACCGTTCGAAGTTACCGAAGCTTGAAAAGTAACTTTACAACCAGTCCTTGCAGTTTCGACCACTGCAACATCTCTGCGGTCATGTGATCGAGACTCAGGCTCTTTACAACTGACGGGCTTTTATGACCATCGCAGCATCCTGCTGTCACATGATTGCCATTTGTGCCGGTTTCCGACAAGCAGAGTTGATGGAGTAAATGGAGAAGCTGGCAATAAAATTGGAATTCACAGTCATGTGATGTCTTGCTTAATGACTGTCACTTAGTGACAGAGTTGTCTGTCCCAGTTGTGGTGGTTAAGTGAGGACTACCTGTAGTCATCCTCTCAACTCTTCTGGATCTATATAAAGTTATTTTTGACCTGTGTTACAGATTTCTAGCCTGCAGCCTTATGGTGTTGTTTCATAAGTGCCAGTGCTGTGGGAGTAAACTTCCTCTTCTGAATGGGAATAAATTGTGCTTTTTCCCCCCTCAGTAGATTCTTATAAGCACTGTAAGAGATGAATAGGCTCACTGCAATTATTTCTCATGCTGGTGAGCCTCTCTTTGGGAGCAAGCTCTAAGGGCAGCAAACTCTAAAGCTATTGTAGCTTCATCATCTAAGCTTTTCACTATGTCCCAGAAATGGTTGGGTGACTCCCTTGTCTCTTCAAGAGACAGGCAAAAACTCACCACCCACAAAATTTTTGTTGTGCCATTATTGGGTCCAGTGAAACTGCCCATTAAGGGCTCAAAAGTTTCCAAAAGTGCTGCTCCACCTGATTCCAACCATGACAAAAAAAATTTAAAAAATGGGATCAAGGCCCATTGCTCCCTAATTCTGGGTTTGGTGGCATCAAATTCTGCCAAATGGACTTCTCTCAATATGATCTTTTTTATCCAAATCATTATGCTTCCAGGGCATCCTCTGTTTGATATATTTTTTTACTTTGTTACCAAGTGCACAAGTTGAAGACTGGACAACAGTTCTTCTGTTAGAAGACTTCTATTTCTGTAGTGACAAATTGGTAGAATAACATATCTCTTTGGCCTTGAGGTTTAGTAGTTCTCTCAGACAATAGAGGACCTAATATATGAACTGGTCCATAAGGCAACTGTTTCATTAGTCCTTATTTTAATGTTTCTGTCTTGCTGAAGGGACTCCTGGAATAAGCCAGCTTCAGTACCACAGTATCTCCTTTCCTATTTAGTCCCAACCTTTTCAAACAGAAGCAATTTGTTTTGCCAAGCAGGAACTGAACACTCTTATTACAGCTGATCTAGATCTGGATCTTCTGTAGCCAAGATCATGGTATCTTTCGTTGCTTTGCATTATCATGCCTGTTGCTGTTCCATTAGTCTCTCGCTGGAGACTAAGATTAGAACTGAAGACCATCCATTTGATTGGAAGTTGTCTACTCAGCAATAAGACTGATATCCTGGATAGGATCCAAAAAGTTCATTCAACAGCCTGTAAACTGTCTACAGCAACCATTTTTCATTTCTTTTCGTTATCTTCCATGGTTCTGCTTTTGTTTGACCAAAGACATCTGTTTTTCAGGCAGAAGGCCAAGTACCCTATGCCCAGCACCTCTTGCCAGTAACTGGAACTATCTTCACATCCAGCTCAGCAAGACTATATATACCAACCCCAATTATCCTAGTGCTGTCACTGACCTTGAGATTCCCTCACACCAACAGTTAAAGGGATATTTGTCTATTTTCAAATTATGTGGGCTCTATTGATATGTGGTGTTTCTCAAAGTTGCAGTACTGAGTTTTCATCCAACTCAACATCAAACTGCCCTCTAGATTCCAAGACAAACTTGCATGGTGTCAGGTGTTCACTCCTCCTGCAAAAATGAGCAATTGAGAATATTTCTCCAGAGGAAAATACTTCCACACTCATTTCTAAGCATTGTACATTCCCAAGAAGGATGATTGGCTTGGTCTTTATCACTTCAGTTACATTTTGAGGTATTCTTACTTTAGGATGATATTTATCACTTCCCTCCTTCTACAAAATGGAATGTGACCTGCGTTTTATAGACTTGCAGGATGCTTATTTTCATGTTTTTGTAGTACACTACCATTGCTTTAATTTACTGCCATTTTGTAGTAAATTAAATCTGTCTGCAAACGTAATGTTCTATCATTTGCCCTTTCATGGCCTTGAAAATATTTTCTAAGTTGATGGAGTTATGCTTTCCTTTGCCTGCAAGTCATCACTTTTTTCCCTTAACTAGGTGACTGTCTTCCTGTTGTGTACTCCTGTGCAAAATTACCCTGCCAAGTCCTTCTCCTTTTATAGTCTCTCAGCCTTCAGGCCAGTTATGAGAAGAGTGCCCTTCTTCCCTCATAGGTTATCCAATTTACAGGGGCAATGACATATATTGTCAGAGAAATTGCCTTCTTATCATTACCATAGCTCTGTATGTTTCAAGCATGTATACATAAGTTCCTTCCTTTAGCAAAAAGAGCCCACATTCCTCAACTCTTCACATAGCAGCTTGTTTTCTTCACATGGCAACCAACTTCAGTGATCTGCTCTGCCATCTATGCAAGTTTTCGCTGTAGGTGTGATAACTCCATTAAATTTCTCTGAATATGAATGTAGGATAACTCTTGCTCCCAGTTCCATCCTGGAATTTGGCTGTTTTCTTTTGACTGTAGCTATGACATTAGCTCATCAGGCTAAAAAACCCTGCACCCTACAAAGAAACTCTCCTTTCTTCATTTTTCATAGGGTGAAAGTTGCCTAGATAATTCTTGCTGCCAGAACAGTTTCTGCTTTTCACGTGGACATAATTGTGTCCCCTTTTTTCCCTAACCCCTCAACTCCATTAGAAACATTGCTTCATTCACTGGATGTCTGTTATGCTTTTGTCTTTTATCTGATCGGTATGGTACCATTCTACCAGGTCAGCACTTATTTTTGGCCTTCTGAGGCCTCTCTAAAAGCTATAGGCTTTCTCTTCAAATGGATGGTCACAACCATCAAGGATTATTATGAGCTGCTATGCTGTCTTCCAATCTATGTCCCTCTGGAAGAGCAATGGCAAGACCAGAAGCCTTCCTTTGAGGTAGGGAGGCTCTTCTGTCAGAGTTTTGCTGGGCAGGTACATAGTCTCAGTCCTCCACCTTCACTCATTATTTTAGAGTGGACTTTTGCTTCTAGAAGGATGCAATCTTTGTAGAGCTGTCCTCTGTTTGGTTTCCTTATGTTGGCCAGACCATACTGCAGGTCAGAAGCTTGATAATCAACCATCTTTTTGAATTACAAGGACAATGATGAAGAAGAATGGGTATTTATTGCATTTCTTTGATTGGTCATCTATTAATTCACCCAATACACCCTTTTACTGCATTAAGTCTGAGGTGATTTCGCTGTTTCTTTGGGCCTACTGTGTCAATTTTAGGAACTGAAGGAGTTCAATGTAGTCCTTCTAAATGTTTCTTTAAGCTCCTGAAGGTTCTATGGAGGTGCATAACCTAAGTAGTGAATTCATAGATGACTACTGAAAGAATTGTTGTTACAGGTAAGTAACTAGTTTATTTCCTGTTCCATTTGCTTAATAATCTTTTTTTTTTTAATCTTTCAGCAAAGTTACATATAAGGACCACTTAAAAGTTGCATTTAATTTTTTAAGTTCAAATAAAATAATAGGTTTCATGAGAATATGATTTGAAATTACAGTAGCATCTATGTCACCCCAAATAATAAAACATTTTGCACACTCAGGTTTTCTGGGCAAATGCCTTTTTTTTGTTAGGTAATTGCTGTGGTTGTTTGACAGGAGACACACACCATATGGAAACCAGACTGACTACAGAATATTTGAACTCAATAAGCGGCTGCAAAACTGGACAGAGGTATGTTTCTGTGGGTTCTGGGTTACTGAATTAGAAGAAACAAGGGGAAAAGCTTTGGAGGGATACATATAGGCATTGTCATGTTTGCATGAGAGAGGAAAGCATTGTGGCTATTAACCAGTCCTTGATTTCCGTTTAGCTTTTGGAGAGCTGATTTTATTTTTTTTTTGGTATCATTTGCCATTAAAAGAAGCCTCAAAACAATTTACATTTTAAAATTACATTAATAATTGAAATAATAGGTTAAAACATGAACCTATTAATGAGCATACATGTTAAAATGTTTTATAAAAATGCAATACAAAATTGTAAAATAAGCTGACAAATGATAAATGATAAAAACAATGCTGATTGCTCCATCCCTTCACCATTCTTCTGCTTAAACTGGCAGTCTTCCCTGGCTGTTTCTTCTTAAATTGCAAGACTATATGCGTGTGTGTAATGTTTTTACTGTTTCATTTATATTTAAGGAAGTGAATTGGATCACTACCACATAACAGTTGAAATTTTCTCATTGGCCCATGTCCTGCTATACTGTAACTTTTATAGAGATTGTAGAAACTCCCAGGTGGAACCATTACTTAAGACATTCCTTGGACATTCTGATGCATTTTATGTTCAATATCTCTTATTAGGTAAAGATTCTAAAATAACATATGTTACGGCTATATTTGCATTATTAGCATGCAAAACTTGCAAGCAATTAGTCAAATTGTAGATTAGGCTAAACAGTCTCCAAGGGCATTGCAGTAATCTAAACAAGACATTACCAGTACATGGATTACTATAATGAAACTATGTCTGTCCAACAGCATAGATAGAGGACCAGCCTAAGTTGGTAAAAGGTGCTTTTGGCCATAGTGGCCACTTGCTCCTCACGCAACAAAGATAGATCCAGAAATACTCCCAAGCACCTCTGTGTTGTATTTGCTCTTCTTTGTGCCTACAGGAATGTGACAATCTGTGGTGGGATGCCTTTACCACTGAGTTTTTTGAGGATGATGCCATGTTAACAATCACCTTCTGTCTGGAAGATGGACCAAAGAGATACAGTGAGTCATTTAGAGTCCTATGGCTGGTTGATATATACCATTGTCCTGATTCAGAAATCTTTCATGTATAAAGGCAAAGTTGCAAGTGGTTATCTGTTTATCCACCATCTTCTGGAATAAATCCTAAGGAACAGCTCCCATTTTCACTGTGAAGTTGGGATCTGGTACCCATTTGTTATAGCTGCATCAGACCTCTTTGTTTTCATAGTCCATCACAAAGGAGAATCTTCAGAAGAATTCTGAATATTAAGTTCAGAAATGAAGAAAGTTGATTTTAGAATAAGTAATATATGTATTACTTGATCTGCCCCTACAGCAACTGTCCAGGCATTCCCAGCAAGCATTTAGCATTTATGATCTTGTGTAAGAGCTGTACTCCCCATTTTGTATCTTTAGAAATGACCATGAAGTTCTCAGAACACATTACCTTAGGGTGAAAGAGCACAGATTTTCAGAAATGTCTTTTGCTGAAAATTCCTTGTTCCATCCACTTATTACATGTACTTTTGTTATTCAAAATGGATTTGTATTGCTTAAATAAAAATGTACATATCATTAATCACAATACTGTTGAAACTCCAATTTATATAAAGGAAATTCCCCATAGGTTTCACATTTTCCCCCCTACTCCCCACTTCTAAAAATTAACACCTGAAAAGTTCTTCCTTTTGTATTTCTTCCAAATAGATAGAAATGACATTCAAAGGGTTGTTCATGGTGCTTGAAAAAAGCATTAAATATATCAGCAAATTGATTTCATCCCTATTTGGGAATATTGTAATTCTTCGAATAAAAAATTCCTAGACATTGGCAGATTTCTGGACTTGGATAGTTATGGTGCATGCATGCATATACTTCTTCCACTCTTTCTCTGTCATGTTCTAGAAAACAGATAAATTGTTTTAAAATGAAAAAAATGAATTGTATTTATTTTGAACAAAAACCTGTTGTGTTATTGTGGAGGAAGCATAGCTGAGTAGTAGACTGTATGCTTTGCATGCAGAAGGCTGTTTAGTCCCTGACATCTCTAGCTAGGGCTAGAAAAGATTCTTGCCTGAAATCCTTGAGAACTATAAGATAGTGATGACAATACTGAGATAGATAGATCCAGAAGCACTGTTGGAAATAAAGTTCTTTTTGAGGCTGGTAGTATGCTACTCCCCATGCTTTTTAAATTAGAAGAATCTAAAAGTAATAGAATTAAGTTGGGCAGGGAGCTTGGCAGCATCAAGGAATGATCAACAAGCACATTATCGCTCCTGAGCACTACATTCAGGACTTGGGTCCTGACCTGTTGTCAGTTCCATTCATTGTTCATAATCTCCTTCATTAAAATGTTTTTGCCAATGCTAGTCATGAATGTGTACCGCAAAAAATGAAAAGTAATTTAATTTTTGTCACCCTTTTCTTCCTGATGTATAGCAATCGGCCGTACCCTAATTCCTCGCTACTTCCGCAGTATCTTTGAGGGGGGCGCTACTGAGCTATATTATGTTCTGAAGCACCCAAAGGAATCCTTCCATAACAACTTTGTTTCACTTGACTGTGATCAGTGTACTATGGTCACCCAGCATGGCAAGCCTATGTTCACCCAGGTGAGAGTGCAGCGGTATTTCTCCAGCCCCAGGGCTTACAAGGAGGTACTTGTATTTAACTGCAGTCTTCGTCATTCTTCATGTACTCTTGTAAAGAGATCCTCTGCTTGGAAAGGGTTGGTAGCTACAAATAGAATTGGAACAAAATTGCTTTACAATGTATTTTTTAATTTATTTCTTATGCTAAAATAATTAAAAGAAAAATGCAAATGTATACAACACAATTTTAAATTCCATTCCTGCAGACCACCAAGGGGTTTCCCCTCCCTTCTGGGCATGGAGGGAAATCCTTTGTGGGGCTGCAGGAACGGAGCTCAAATCTTCAGGATTTGAGCTCCGTT